CCCACCTCCTCCTCCTCTTCCTCCCCCAGCGTCTGCTCATAAGCGCACTTCTGCCGGCGCCCGGCCTGCTCCCCCTGGGAGCCGTCGCTGTCCTGCTCCGACTCCCCCTCCCCCTCCGAGCCCGTCTCGTCCGAGTTCTCGGCCTCCAAGTAGCGGTAGCCCCGCACCTTGTGCCGCGGCTTGGGGATCTTGGGCACACGGTAGATCACGTGCCCCACCAGTTTGTGCTCCATCCACAGGTACGAGAGCACGGAGGCCAGCAGGGTCAGCAGCATGATGGACAGCTTGGCCTGGGGGAGGGGAGAGGGCGTGTTGAGCAAGGGTGGGGCTGGAATCTCCCCCGCCCCACACACGTGAGCCTCCCGAGCGGGAATCCCAGGAAGGGCTTGTGCAGACTGAGCCAGGCACAGGCCCGTCAGTGACCCACGTGATCGAAAGCCGAAGGACAGTCTCAGCCCATCTCCCTGAGCCTCCAGGGCCCCCTGCCTCTATGGCTGGGGAAAATCACTCCTGTCCCACACCAGTCCTGCAGCTTCGGCCCGTGCCCCCCAGGAACCCAGCCCCCGGCGCCTCCTTGCCCCACCCGAGAGCAGGCTGGCAGCAGCCCTCCCTTCCCCTCCTGGGGATGGCCAGCGCCTGCCACCAGTGGTAGATGGTGAAGATGAAGTCCTGGCGCTCCTTGTCCTGGTACAGCATCCCCAGGAGCGCTGCGGTGGGACAGACAGACAGACAGCCAGCGGCTCCTCCCCCTTACAGGACAGGGTCACCGTTCCCAGCTAACCTGGGGCTGAGGGTCTCCCCGTTGCACAGACGGCTCCAAAGCCCCATTTCAGAGCCCACCCCGTGGTGCCGGGACCTGCCCCCATTCCAGCCACCTGGGCTGCCAGTGGGACAAGGCAGCGTCGCCGGCACCTCGCACGCCAGAAGGCACCCGCAGCTTTCACTGCCCCGCCCATTCCTAGCGGCTATAGGGAGCATAGCCTGACAGGTGCTGTATGTGTCTCTCCCAGGGAGCGAGAGAGAGTGTGTGTGTGTGTGTGTGTGTGTCCGTCCCAGGGAGCAGTGGGGTGTGTGCTTCACAGGGAGTGATGGTGTGTGTGTGTGTGTGTGTGTGTGTGTGTGTGTGTGTGTGTGTGTTTGTGAGTGAGAGAGAGACACACAGAGCAACAGACAGAGCCCAGAGTCCACCCCACGACTCCTGACCCCCCCACACTCACTGCTGAGACTGGTCTTGTTCAGGGCGCTGCCCAGTCCCCAGAGGGCGGCCACCAGGTAGAGCAGGGGGGCCTGGGACGGATCGCCGTGC